CATTAAAAATAATAAACAAAGAAATCTATAGATCAGATTCTCTAGACTGGGACATGCAGGCCTGGAGAAGTCACCCATCCTGAGGTCTGAACTGAGAGCTCCTCTCTCTTCTCCTCTGCCCACTGCTGCCTTAGGAGAAAGGATGGGCAGGGAAGCCTGTGCATCCCTTCATCTTATCTGAGCTGCTCGCCTCAGGCAGGTAACTCCAGTTCACCTGGTGGAAAGTGAGCCTTGCAGATTTTGCCTCTCATTTGCCCCAACAGAAAGTTGAATGAGGGCATGTGCCATATATTTAGGTCCTTAAAAAAAAAATCCGACTTGTAAATACTGAGTTATAGATTTGCTGACCATGAATATTTCTTTTGCTGACCAAAGAGGGCCAGATAGTCTATTCCAAACTCTTCTGTCCCAGGCTTACCATGAAGTCCTTCTTCTCTGCCACCTTCCAAGAGTCCAATAAAAAGGAGCTTCTTCTGCCAAAGGCTGTGCCTTTAGATCTTAAAGTTCTCCACCCTGATTTCTTCAGGGCTGTCCCACTTTCTCTTCTGTGCCCCTTTTTCCAGTATTCCCATGGGCTGCTCCTGGAGGCCCCAGCAGAAATACTTCTAATACTTCACTGGAGGGTAGATCAGACCAGACATACAGTGGCCCCTAAGGTAGAATATATTCTGGACCAGAAAGTGTGAGTAGGATATGGGGCGTGGGTACAGCATAGGTAGAGCCTGGTCATAGCATAGCCAAGGAAGGATGGGTCTACTGAAGGCAAGCGGTGTGCACTGGACACAGAGACTCGTGGAGAGGCAGGCCAGTTGCCCATGGACTGCACCTCCCCAAACCCCTGAGCCTTGGAGCTGATGGCTCTGATCAGCTTATTCTGCTCCTACCTTCTTATCTCCAGTTATTTGCTCTCTGAAGCTATTTATTTTTAATACTTAACAGAAATGAGTCATATTTCTGTTTGTGTGTTAGTTAGGCTTTTTCATCCATAGGACCCTGTCTTCTGACCAAAATGATAATCCTTCATACCCATCTGCCTTATTAGTTTACCTGATCCTTAACTATTTCCTGTCTCTCCACATTTTTTTTCTCTAAGTCCTGTTCACCGTGAAAGCAGGACTTACTGGGTTATTTATGAATATGTACCCTAAAGTTTCTTCTTTTTAAAAGAGCTTTATTGTACCCTTAAACTGAGCATAGACGTTGTACATAGAAGGACTGAGTAGGTGCACTTAGAGAAGTCAGATAATGCCAGAGAAAACTTGGAACCCAGGGACATGGTCTTTAGAGACAGAAGTCTCACCCCAGTTTTGCCTTGGGAGAGAAGCACTAAAAATGAGACTCAAGGCCTCTGTGGCATGACGAGAGGGCCATTTGCAAGCCAAGTGTACCCGAAGCTTCCTGCAACCCAGAGGGCAGTATGGAGAAGCCCTGGGAGTGAGTGGTCTCTCTACATACAGCGTTGAGTGGAGACAATAGTTACTTTATCTGACTTACAAAGCCTCCTCTTCCCAGTAGGCGGATGGTATTCTCCTTCCTGAACAATAAACTTGAAGCTAGACTTGTCTCCTCCTGGCTTCAGATGTGATCATGACCGTTAAAACAAACAAACAAACAAACAAACAAACAAACAAACAAAAAACCAGCATATCTTCCCCTTAGCCCAAGAGTCCCATTCTGGCCTTTGATCTGTAGTTCATGGAGGGTAGGCCTGGGGGGGGGGGGTGTTTTCAATAAGCCATACTTTCAGAGAAATGGCAAAAAAGTTGGATGTAATTTCATTTAAATTATCATGGGTTTTTGAACATATGAGTGTTTGTTCTTTGTCAGCAGTGGGCTATATGACATAGAAAAGGGAATCAGGTGTATTCTCTACCTAAAAAGGAAAGTACCAGACAGCAAAGGATAGCTAAATACAGTGATGAGTAGTAACATTTTAGCATTTACCGCTGGTCAGGCACTAATGCTAGGGATCTTATTTGCATTATCCAGTGGCACAAAACCCTGTGAGTTCAACATTACCATGCCAGAGAGGTATGGGACTTGCCCGATGTCATACAGCTAGAAAGTGCTGGAGCCCAAGATCTTAACTGGGATCTGTCTGACTCCCAAGCCCTTACCCTAACTACTGTGCAGACTGCTCTCCCACAAATAGAGCGCCAAGCATCAGAAGCCCTGATCTTTCCAACGGAGTAAAGTGGCAAGGAAGCCCTTTTGAAGTGTCAGTCGGAACAAATTTTCAGAAACAGGTAGTGTTAAGACTCTGTTTACAACGTGTAATAGTATTTTATAGGTTATTTTAAGGGTGTAGTTTTCCGGTCTCCAGGGGACAACCCATCTATAGGCTTCTGCCCAAGCTGGGGTTATTTGTCAGCGATGCTATTTGAAAACGTTTCCATTCTATCATTTTGCTGAACACGGATTTAGAAAACCACAACAATTTAGTACGATGGTGTGATTAGCAAAGCCCCGAGTTTGGTTCCCGCGGGTCCTTCAGTGATTTGGCTTTCGGGTGCGTAATGCAAAAGGAGAGGATTATTAGCAAAACCACTTTTGCCCTGGGAAAGTGAAATGTCTTCTTCTCTACCTCGTCTTTCGTTGGATGTGGAAATGGGGCTGAGTACCTTCTGAGGGACATCTGGAGTTTGGTTTGAGGTTCTGCTGGACATAACTTTATTAGTTCTGTATAATAAAACCATCTCAGGACAGGCTTCCATGAAGGACCAGTGAAATATTAAAATCGAGGGGGAAAAAATGATCTGAATATTTTAGTAGGTGGCTCATCTCTTAACTTACAAGTTTCTAGAGAAGACATACAGAGCCCTTACTCTTTATTTCCCCCTGTGAATATGGTGACAGGCCTTGCATGGGAGGTATTCAGTACAATTTTTTTTGTATTATTATTGCCATATCATTAAAGTTCGTTCATTTTTACCAAGCCATCTTTCAGAAGAATCCTCTTAAAAAAGTAGAGCTTTCCTATTTTAATCTCTCAGAAGCTTCACATTTTTAAAAACTAGGACAAACAGATACATTGTTTTGTAGTTTAGTAAATAAAGCATAAATAAATAAATAGTATTTCATAATAAATAAATAAATAGTATTTTCAGAGTAATACCAGTACCTTATGGGCCTGCCTTTAAATGATTGCTATCTTTTTCTTACTGAGATCATTGAATAAAACTTAAGAAGGGCTAAGATTGGGAGGAGTGATTAGATCCTAAAGTGTATCCTAGTGTAGAAAATTGTGGTTTAGAGTTCTCCTGTTAGATCTAATTGTCTGAAGCACATGGCATTTACTATATATTAAATAGATATTTAACTTATATAGCATCGTTTCTGAAGAAAACAACACCAATAACAATGGCTCCCATTTATTGATTATTTACTACGTGCTGGACGTTATGTTAGGTGCCTCACATTGTTTATCTCACTTAATTCTTGTAACAGTTCTATAAGGTGGGTAGATTTTACCTGTGAACAAATAAAGCTACTTAACTCAAACGTTGAAGTGACTTTCCCAGCGTGTGTGGTGTCAGAGTCAAGATTTGAGCCCAGTTTAATACAACTCCAAAGCCCACGCCCTGTATTATAAAGAGAGAAATGAACATAATTTGTATTCATACTCCTACAAATGCACATTTGTTCTTGGAAGAGCAGGCTGTTATTCCACTCTGTAAAGCCATTGTAATGCAGACACGTCGTGTGTGATTCTTACCAGTCCAGAGGAAAAGCAGGGAAGCAGAAGGATGCAGAGGAGATGAGCGTGTACTTAGAAGAACGCTGCAGGGTCTGACTGTCGCTTCAGAGCAGCTGGACACTCATAAGCCTCGGTCACACACACGGACCTTGCAAAGGTTGTCTTTGCTAATAGAGTACTTCATTTCTTTGCCTGACCTTGCCATCATGCTCCCCTCTCAGCCCCCAATTAAGCTGCCATTGGTAGAGGATTTATAACGTGTCCCTGGTTTGTTCAAGAGACAATGACAGAGGTGTAGCTGAAAAGCTGGACAATGAAGAATAGAGATCGTTTCCATTTCTCTTCAAGTTCAGGGGCAGCAAAACCATAGCTGACCCCCGGGACAGACCAAGATGGTCCAACTAGATGCTTATTCCAGATACTAAGTGCCTAGTACTGTTTTCAGAAGGGACGTTTCCTCCGAGTGACCAAGATGCCCACAGTTTTTCCGCATGATGGGAACCCCCACCAAACCTTGGGAAACAATTGTGGTGTTAGTCGGTGTAATGTTCCAGGAGAGAATCTGTATTTTATTCTTCCTTCAGGCTTCTAAACAATATAGTAAGTTTTATAAATGAAGATTTTTAAGGGAAAGAATAGTTTCTTGACTGAATCAGATGTCACAGTGTGGCAGTGAATCATAGGAATTTTCGGTGTTATGAACCATATTTTGAATAGGTAGGATTATATTAATTTGTGTTTTAAATGCATAATGAGACTGGAATGTTTTTGTTGGAGTTCAACGAATCTGTAAGAAGAGGGTTGTTCCTTTACAGATGAATCTTATTACACTTTCACAAATTTAGAAATAAAACCCTGACTTGGAGTTAATATGGAAGAAGCCACAGGCATCCCAGTTTCAGATTACTGGTTTTATTTAGCACTAGCAATATCTTGGGCTGTGGATATAATCCTAATATTTGAAGCTTGATCAAATACGTTCAGATGCATCTTAATTCTCTGGTTAGCCTTCCATTATTTAGCTAACACCTCTCAGACCCAATTTACTCAGCACTTAGAAGGAACCAATTAGTGGTTTAAGCTCCAAAAGAAGCCTGTTTCCTCTTTTCTGTATTTTGAATGACCTGTAGGTTTTGCCAGATATTTTGCCCCGCAGATGAAACTGATGAAAGTCAGAACTGGGGTTTTCCTACCTGTGCTTATCAGTCCTCTCCTGAACCACAGTCTGTTCTTTCGAGAGCTCTAATAATTAATTTGGTCTCTTTCTTCTCCCTTCCCCCACCTTCTCCCTGTGTGTTCACAGGTTATCTTGACGAATCAAATTACTACGCATCTAAGCGGAGCTCTAGCTTCTCAGGCAGACCTGGTGTCTCCAGCTGATGATTTGTCCCTGTCTGAAGGTAAGGGATCTGTCCTAGAGGGGCGGAAACTTGACACTGACGTATAGCCCCACCGCCTCTCCTCTCTGCCTTTCTGCCCCCTGTGGCACTGGGAGACTGGGCTGAGGGGCCCTGGCCAGTGAACCCAGCCGGAGCCTGGCGATTCAGGCTTAGCCAACTTCCCCGGCATCTGATTCCCTGCATTTGGAGAGGCTCATGCCCCGTCTCTATAGGCCAGCTTCCTTTTTCATCCGAGTGCGTCACCCTCACAGACATCTGTAACCTCCACCTTGAAGACTGTCACACCTCCATACGTTGATTTTGGGTCCTTAGTATAAGGGCACCTGCTAAGTGACTTGATTTTTGAGACTGACGCTCACAGGTTGCTTTACTGGTGTTTGCATAGGAGTTCAGCCTTTTGTCTGTGCTGAGTGCTTTTAGACTGGCTAAAAATGTACACCATTGTCAGGTGTTGGAGATGTGACGTTCCTGACCAGCGTTACAGAAGGGTTAAGAGAAGCTCTCTACGTTGGTAAATCAGCAAAATTTTCTCCACCCTCCCATGCTAGCAAAGGTCAGGCTGGCTATGGTTTACGTAGCTAGGGGAATTACACCACCGCGCCAGTGGGTGGTTTCTAGCTTTATTGAAAGTTCTTATGTGACATTTCTGAGTTCTGGCTGGCTGTGGGTTGGATACACGTGCATAGCTGTGACAGACCCCTCTGCACTTCCATTTTCTGGGAAGTGTTCATGAGGGAGCAGATGGCATTTTGTAGGCTTGTAAGGCTCCTGACCGCCCAGGTGGTCTTCCATGGACTGGCCGCAGTCTGTGGACTCAAAACTTGGAAGGGCGGGGCGCCTGGGTGGCTCAGTGGGTTAAAGCCGCTGCCTTCGGCTCGGGTCATGATCCCAGCATCCTGGGATCGAGCCCCGCATCGGGCTCTCTGCTCGGCGGGGAGCCTGCTTCCCTTCCTCTCTCTCTCTGCCTGCCTCTCTGCCTGCTTGTGATCTCTGTCTGTCAAATAAATAAATAAAATCTTTAAAAAAAACAAAAAAAATTGGAAGGGCCACAGCCCTGCTTCTTGGGGGTGTTTTTCAGAGTGAGAAACTACTTATTTATAAAAACTGTAAAATGCTCTGTGTCCCCTATTTCCACATTTAGTGTTATATGATCCCTCCCGGTCATCACCCGGACTAAAAACCCAAATCATTTATTCTTCCTCCCTCCCTGAATTCCTCTCCTCTAGTCTTCTTGGTTCTTCTTTCCAAATGTATTCTTCCTCTGCCCCCTCTTCTTTATAATTAAAAAAAAAAAAAAAAAAAGTCTATGGATAATACAAATTTTTTAAAGTAGGCTCTGTGCCCAGTGTAGGGCTTACACTCATGACTCTGAGATCACGAGTGGCCTGCTCCACCAACGGAGCCAGCCAGGTACCTCTTATTTGTGATTTGTATTGTGATCAGCTGACTTATTAAACTCACAGTTGAATTATTTATATAAATTCCAAAATGGCCCTCCCAACTCCAGCCTCTACCATCTCCGTTCTGCCACTACAAATGAAACTCTCCCAATCTGGCTTAGATTTACCATGTCATTCTCCTACCCAGAAGTCTGGAAACTGTATCAGCCCATTTTCTGAGAATGGGCTAGACTCAATTTTAAAATATTCAGGAATTTGTGGTTTGTCAGCCTGAAATCAGCCAGGGTAGAAGTATTTACACCATGGGAATCTGCACATGCTAAAAATCAGGATTTTGGGGGTTTTTTGCTTTCTTTTCTTTTGTGTGGATTAGTTTCCAAAACACCACTAGATACGGTGCTTCCTCACTCTCACAGTCTGCCCTGTCCTTCCCATTCCCCTTGGTTCTTGCCAGTGCCTTCCAGGAAGCTCCCACATCAAGCACACTGACTTTCTGTCTGCTCCTCCCCATTCCTGCCCCTAGCCGCTGCAGGGACAGCTCGTCCTATCTAGAATAGCATTTCCCTTTTTTACTTCTACCGCTTCCTCTCTTCCCAAATCCTCCAACTCAGTCAAAATTTATTTAAAGACCACCTCTTCCCACAAAACCTCCTTGTTTGTTCCAGTCTGCACTGGTCTCGCTCCCTCTTCCTCCTCTGTGGTCCTTCTACCTGCTCTGCTTTATAGAGAAAAAGTCCAGGAAAATTAATTTAACTTTTCATGGTTTCCTGACTAGATTGGCAGATTTTTTAAGGGCATGGGCTATCTTGGATTCTTTTTGTATCCTGAGTGACTAGCTAGTTCTAGGCACATAATAGGCAGTAAATAAATGCTAAATGGGTACCATAGTAAATACTTTGTAAATAGGAACCATGAGATTCACATAAAGCACCTCATTAAAAATTGTTGTAATTATTTCACACACATACACACACATTTATTCAGGTTTGAGGAGGAAAAAAATATCTTGTTTCCTTATTTAAAAACCAAAAAGTAGCAGCATTTTGCTTTGTCTTGGCTTCCTGGTTTATCTCAAGCAAAGAAGGGGAACAGGACAGATACAGAGGTAATTGTTGGGGGGCTCTGTGTAACCGCTTGCAGAAAATGATAAAGGTGGTCTCATGACAAGGGGAGACTTACCAGCTCATCCTTAAACAACTTTTTTAAAATTGTGAAATCCTAGGGAGAATGGAAACAATTGATTTTTCTAGATCTTTCCTTTGCATAGCTGAGCAAGTAAAGAGGCTATAGAAATATTTTTCCTGAAGTCTATAATGAAGTTCCTTACCAGTGAACTAAAACGGACAATTTTCTTAAAGCATTTATACCTATCCAAATACATTGCAATGGTTGTTAATACCACTGTTGTTAATAGGTATCAGTTACTTTGGTGTTTCCGGGATCCATTGTACCAACTTTGCTTTGGTGTTATTAGTCCTGTGACCTTGGGCAGGTCTTTCCGTGACTTTGGGCCTCAGGATAGAAATACAAAATTGCCTAAGTCTTTTCTAGCTCTCCCATCTGAAGATCAGGAGCACTGACTTGTTGACGGGTCTTAGAATTATCTTATGGAGTGGGCAGAATGGCCTTGTATTTCCTAGACTACGCTTGATAGAAAGGGTCTACAGGAATCTTAGCAGTGATACTTTAGCATATCTGGAAGAGCCTCCTCACCCCACATTACCATCTCCTCACTCTGCAAGCCATTCTGGTCTCTTCCGTCTGTCTCTCGCTCTCTCCGCTCTCTCCCGCATGGACGTGTACACAAGAAGACGCATGCGCAAACCAGTGAGAGTGAGAAACCCTGGAGAGGTGAGCTCCAGGCCCACCCTGTCGTGTAATAGAGTTCAGCCGCAGAGCAGAGGGCACAGCTTCAACAGTGCTCCCTTGAAAACAGTTGTGGGGTGAGAACAAGCAGCCAAGAGCAGCCAGCAATAAAATGATCTGAGTTGACCTAAGGGAAATACCCAGCAGGGGCCAATTCAGGGAGATGAAGTCCCTTCTGCTCTGATGCAGAGCTGGGAATATAAGTGACCTGGCCCAGCGGAGAGATCTCTTCCACCGCAGCGGATCCTGTACTATTAATATCTGCCAGCTGCAGGCCCAGAGCATCCCCCTGCTGAGATCAAAAGAGCCCCTATCTTAGCTGGAACAAGGTCATCTTCACAGAGCTGTAAAAGCTGAGCCCTGGCTGGCTGCAGGAACCTCTATGGGGGAGGAGAAGTCAGGAGATGGGGAGGTGCTCTCTCACGCTCCTTTAATCTCAGCTGACCAGCTGTTGCCCTCCCAGTGTCTGTAAAGTTGAGAGTTCTTTGTTTTTGTGTTGCTAGTTTTTTGGTCCCCCCCCCCATTAAGCTTACGGCTGGGTTGTTGCTTGGATGATGTAGATCGTGTTCACTGCTTGGGTCCATGGTATGATTCCCTTCATTGGAGTTTCATTCTACTGTTGGATTATCCAGCTCCCAGGTAGGAGAGCCAAAGAAGAGAAGAGTGGACCCCAGAGGTCAAGGACTTTCTCCACATCATTCCTGCCCTTTAGTTTTGTGCCCAGAGAAAGAATGAGGGCAAATTGAATTTTTTTTCTTTTTAACTGAAATAACTTCCCTTAGGTGCAGTGTGCTTGTCAGTTTTCAGCCTGCCTCTCACAAACATTATTTCATTCAGCGGGGAGAATGGAACCTTCAAGACTTACTCAAACTGACCAAAATTCACTGCCCTGTGAACCTAAGGGCAGAAATCCAGATTTCTGGTTTTAGAATCTACATTGTTCTTGACCAGGCACTGTGAATCAAAGTATTTTCTTCTTTAGTTTTTTGTTTTGTTGACAGAAACTCAGGCAACTAGATTATTACAAAGTTGACTGACTGATTATTGACTAGGTTACTGTGACTGTTCTGTGGCCAAGGACATGTTTCTTAGATGCCCTTGCCAGTTCTTCCTGGTGGTCATCAAAAATACTAAGGATGACTGGATCTCTCTCCTAGGGAGTATCTCTGTTCCCCACAATGATCAGTAGAGAAAGGATCTAACAGTCCAGCTGGCCTACGACTCCATACCCTGTTCTGAAGTCACGTGGGATTTAGGCAGAAGGACCGGCTGGGCTCCTGTCCACACAAGCACAGTTGGTAGGTGAGGTTGACGTATGGCGACAGTGGGCCCTGTGCAAGATTGAAGCTCTGCTCAACCCACACCGTCGGCTTTCTCTCCTCTGATGATTTAATGGGATAGCAGTCCCTTCAGTGTGGTGACGTGGCCCGTTTCAGGAGCCCCAGCTGGCTTCATGGAAAGGAAGACATTATTAGGCTCCCCATCCTGGCATTTCCAGCATCTGGCATGTTAGGATCCTTTTATCTGCATTAATAGTTTTTGATAGATAATAGCACTCAAGAACTAAAACTTGAAAGTGCGTGGATGGGTCAAGGAAAGAACACAAGAGAAAAAGCAGTACTCATTAGAACCAAGAGTGCTTTCTAGTTTTAGTAGTAGAAGCCTTTCTGTTCCGGTTGAATTGATGGCTGATTTCGTGTGCAAGAGAAAGTATTCTGGGATTCATACTCCTTA